AGAATGGTTCCAAGAATAAGAAACTTCAGTTATGAGGATAGATTGGAGAAGTCAAGATTGTTTTCTTTGGAAAGGAAAAGGCTAAGAGGAAATTTAATACAAGTTTTCAAAATCATAAGGGGCCTGAAGAGAGTAGATAGGGAGAAACTGTTGCCACTTGAGAAAGGGTCAGAAATGAGAGGGCACAGATTTAGAGTAGTTTGCAAAGAAGCAAATGTGATGCAAGAAAAAGCAGCTTCATACAACGAACAGTTAGGGTCCGGAATGCACTGCCTGGAAAAGCGGTGGAGGCAGGTTTCATCAAGGCATTTAAGAGAGATTTAGATTGTTCTAAATAGAAGCAATGTGGAAGGTTATATGGCAAGGGCAAGACAATGGCACTAAATCATTATGCTTGTTCAGAGAACCAATGCAGACATGGTGGGCTAAATGGCCTCCATCTGCACTGTAACAACCCTATAACTCTGACTCTGTCTAAACTTCCCTTGTTGCAGGGATCGGGCTATGGAGAATGCAGTTCTGTTTCTCCAAGTGCTACACAGGGCAGCAAAGAATTTACATGCAGAATCGTCTCTGCTTGCTGATCCTTTCATCCCAAGCATTTGTTCGGTGTTTTCCACTGAGACCAAAGTAAAAATTGCTGTTGGGTTATATTAGCATATTAATATATTAGAATGAGGACTCATTGAGTTTGGATGGGCAGTTTAGTCCCTTTCCTGCAAGTTCCATTAAGATTGGAAAGAATGGCCTTCAGGCAGCTTTCTGCTAGATAATTTTAACTATCCACTCACTGTCTTTCTGGTGTATCTCTATTCATACGATTACAGGGTGTTTATGAAGTCCTTGTGCAACTGTAAGCTTTGATAACTTTGGATGTGCTCATAATAACAGGAAACTGTAAACAGCTTATGTAAGCATAAACCATAATAACATTTCAAGACGGGACAATCCTCTAATATAACTGCAATCTTTTGTACATTGCTCAATCTGATTTTCCAACAGTTCGTCTTTCCTCCACTATTGCCATTTTCAATCAGTTTCCGCCTCATTAATTGTGCAATAACATGAATATTTAAAAAGATTTATGAATTATGCTTTCATACGTCATTTACAGGTTGCTTCCATCATGCACACTTCAAGAACTATTAAGGATCATCAAACTAAAACAATGAACTGCGGATGCTGGAAATCTGAAACAAAAACAGAAGGTTCTGGCAAAACTCAGCAGGTCTGGCAGCACTTGTCGAGCGAAAATCCGATTTAACATTTCGAGTTCAGCATCCATTTCAGATGAAGGGTGACTGGACATGAAACAGTAACTCTGTTTTTCTCTCCACAGATGTTGCCAGACCTGCTATGTTTCTCTGGCAATTTCTGTTTTTGTTTATTAAGGAGCACACTTTTTTCAAGGACTTTAAACGCTCTGTATGAAAAAAACACTAAGACCATACACAGAGAATAGTCCCTTGAGTGAAATACAGAGCGCTGCCTGCCATAGGAACCATCTCAGATGTGTCAGTGCTTTGTGCAAAGAGGAGGAAATTGCAGAGGTTCGAGAGATAATTGGTCACTTATGACACTTTAATGTAGCAGCAAAGAATCCAGCAGCAGCTCATTTGGCTTCAACTTTGATGCAAGCAGTCTCAGTTCTGCTGGCTACTGTGGAAATGAGAGAAATTCGCGTGTGAAATGTACTTCTCACTCACAATGAGATGGTCAGTTCTTTTCAATCAATATTAATAGCGATATAATGAGTTTGATTGATATCATTAGGAAATATGGGTGTGGTGGATCTTACAATGTGAATGATGGTACAGTGCATTGGTTACAAGGGAATGGTCCTACAGTGAATGGTAATGTAATTGCACTGTTCAGTAGGATGTATCAATTTTACTGGGTTCTCTTGTATTGCTAGGCAGAGTAGCCACACAAATGGAGGTGGTTAGGGGAACATAACCTAAAAAGGAATAATAAAGAGATAACTTACAAAATATAGAGCGTGGCAGAGGGATTTTAAATTAAATGAATGGCTTTGTGTCAGATCATCAGTACTTAGTGAGCATTGTGACAGAGGGTGTCATTTAGCAAAGATAGAGGAGTGAGTCACTGCTCTTACAATAAGAATGTAAGAATTAGCAACAGGAGTAGGCAGGTCATTTGGTCCCTCAATAATGTTATGGCTGACATGATTGTGGCTGTAACTCCATTTTCCTGTCTGCCCCTCATAACCCTTGATTCCTTCATCAATTAAAAATCTGTATAACTCAACCGGGAATATATTCAGTGACTCAGCCTCCACTGCCTGCTGGAGAAAAAAATTCCAAAGACCAATGACACTCTGAGAGAAGAAATTTCTCATCTCCATTTTATACTCCCAAGGATAATGTGTCACTGCATTCAATCACTTGAAACACACATGTACACAACAAAAATAGGCCTTAAGTGAAGTTTGTCTTTCTCCCTGATGGCTCCAGTAGTGAATGTTTTATCAGTTGTAACTGGGCACTCAAGCTTGACTCCTGGTCTGACATGAGTTAGCTGAGGCTGAGTAGGAGGACTCCTGGCTAAAAGAGAAGGGAGAAAATTCAGCCAAGATTTTGACTCATAATTCAATGACTCTCAAGGAAAGTGTACGTACTGGATGTACAGTGAGGATAGTGGTATTGTCCATCATGGTTCAATAGTCTTGAACAATTCATGAGTGGACAATGGGCATTGCAGATATATATCTTAAAAATGAGCAGTACGTTTGGAAGAAAAATGTGAAAACAAATTGTAACTGTAGCAGAATTATTATAGTGGTTTGTTTGTTGTGGCTTTAGATTGTATAAATTCAGTGCTGTATCAAAATTTAGCATGTGGATTAGGTAAAGCTAACACATTCGCAGCATGGTGGCTCAGTAGATGGCTGTGCTGCCTCACAGTGCCAGGGACGCGGGTTCGATTCCAGCCTTGGGCAACTGTCTGTGTGGAGTTTCCACATTCTCCCGTGTCAGCGTGGGTTTCCTCTGGGTGTTCTGGTTTCCTCCCACAGTGCAAAGATGTGCTTTAGATGGATTGGCCGTGCTAAATTGCCCATAGGATCTAAGGTGGGGTTGGTCTGGGTAGGATGCTCTTTGAAGGATCAGTGTAGACTCAATGGGCTGAATGACCTGCTTCTACACTGTAGGGATTCTATGAGTTGGAAGGAAAATGTGACTTTATTCCCCAGTGTACAGCTAAAAGGAAATATTACATTTTACTATTGGAAAATTGAAGCCAAAATGATCTAAAGTAGATGATTATCTCATTAGAAGACTGGAACTTTTGATTTATCAAGACGTAGCCCTCGAAATGAGGATAAAACACAAGATTCCAAACTGAAAGATAGGAATAAAGCCTCCCCCATTCTGAGGTGTGAAAGCCAGATAGGTTTCTGTTCAGTCACCAGACTGACACTGAGACAAACAATAACTACTGCTGGTTGACCATCAACTTGGAGTAAAATGCTGTTTGGTCTGCCTGAAATATGTTGATTTTCCAGTGCTAATTGCTGGAGGCAACTGAGTGTTGCAGACTGACACACTTTACAGTCCAGGATTACATATTGTAGAATGCATAAAAATGTAGGACAGCCCCTACAGAGGCACAATGGGTAAACGCCACAGTTGAAGACTCTCCTGCTGCAGTACAACGAGGGAATAGAACTTAAGTGAAACCTCTTGAAATAAATACTTGACACAAAATGCACAACGCAAACATAACCTGTAATCATGAATGTAGAGAAGCATTCTGAATGGCACATATCATGAAAGAAATTGAACTGCGTGGCACTTCAAGTAATATAAAATTTGAGCTGATATGTAACATACTTACTCAAATCTTATGAATAAATTATATCCTGGGGAGAAACAATGTTAAATCTCCAGCTTGTGCTGAATTAGTTGATTTCAGGGAAGACTTTGTTTTTGGACTATAACTGGTTGCAGCATTCCTGGGTTAGGGACAGAGGAAAGACACACAATGTTTCCAGTACTGATTTGGGTCCAACACTAAGGATAGATTTAATCAAAGACTTCGAGATAAAATGGATAGAAAGAAAGAATAGATTGGGCAATCTTGGACGAAGGAACCTAACCTAAAAATTACAGCCAGGTCTTTCAGGAGTGGAGTTAGGAAACACTTTGACGTGCATAGGGTAGTAGATGTTTGGAACTCTCTCCCACAAACTGCAATTGAAATTAAGCCAATTTATTAATGTCAAATCTGAGATTAATTGATTTCTTTTAATGAAAGCAATCAAGGATATGAAGCAAGTGAAGTCTGGTCACATATCACCATAATCCCATTAACAGAATAGGCACTAGGGGCTAAATGGCCTCCCTTTGTTCCTCCTATAAAGAATTCATGGAATCCCTACAGTGTGGAAGCAGGCCATTAAGCGCATCAAATCTACACTGCCCCTCTGAACAGCATCCCACCCAATCCCTGTAACCCTGCACTTCTCATGACTAATCCACCCAGCCTACAAACCCCTGGGCACTACAGGCAATTCAGCACGGACAATCCACCTAACCTGCACATCTTCAGACTATGGGAGGAAACCCACACAGACACAGGGAGCATGTGTAAACTCCCCATGAACAGTTGTCCAAGGGTGAAATCAAACCCAGGTCCCTAGTGCTGTGAGGCAGCAATGCTAACCATTGAGCCACTATGCCACCTGATTGCAAGCATATTGGCTCAGAGACCACTGAGCTCAGAACGCTTTGGATAGCATGCTGGCACTCAATTCCTGGCCTCACAAGTGAATAATGGTCATCAAAGTGATGCTGTAAGAATGGGATTTTGCCTCCGTCAAGCTGTCTGCAGAAAGGATGATGGTAAAGAAAACTGGAAAATGAAATAAGATTACACTCAAATCAGCCCAACTATAATCTGAATGCAGGTCAGATCGTTGGAAAATAGTAATATCAAATAGTCTGGATGATTAAAGAGGATGTCAGGAACTGAGCACATAGTGTGATGCAGAAACAGGATTTATTGTTGAGAAATTGTAGACGTTTGACCACAGAGGAACAAAAGTTTCTGGAACTTATTGTACTTTGAGTTTGACAGGGAGAAAGGAGGACTCGGCAACCTCTGCATAATTTGACATAGAACCTTGAATGCTAGTCATTGAATCAGAAAGCACAAAGCTCTGTTCAAATAAACATAAACATGCAGGGCAACTTACTACTATTTCAAACCATACAAAATATTAGCACAGAGTTGCCAAGACCTAGTAGTTAATTTATTGCATGAGAATATATTCAAAGTTTTTGCAAACCCCAACTTCCTCTCAATTTTCAACAAAAAGTTCATAGTGCTTTGTTCCCTGCAGTTCCTTGCAATTGAGTACAATTAAATTGCTGCACTTTTCCCACATTTTCCCCTCAGTTTTCACCCTTCTTCTCCTGGGCATTCTGGCACTTTGCTGACTTTGTGATCCTGGATTATAAAGAAAGACATGCATTTATGTCATACCTTTCATGTTCTGATAACATTGCAAAGTTACTTAGAGTAAATTAAGAATTTTTGAAGTGTTATTACTGTTGTAGCATATGAAATATGGAAGGCAATTTGCACACCGTCAGTTCATTAACTAACAATGAGATAATATGCAGATTTTGAACCTTCCAAGGGGTCCCAGATATAAGAGTTTCCCTGTGTAATATAGAGGTTAAACCACATGCAAACATAGAGAACCCAATTTGCTGCACTGACCAATGGCAGATTCATGAGTCGATGATGATGCTGGTTTGCTGTGTTACCCTGGAGAATATAGCAAAGACCGACTATCTGCTTTTGACTGTAAATCTCTCTTGCAAAAAGCACCCTGTGTGCGACTGGTCAACGAACTCTTGGCACAGATCAGAAATCAGCACAGAAATTATCTAAGAGTTCAGATCTGCCCAAATTCATTGTGTTCTTATTGCTGCAATTAAGGCAACTTATTCAACCTGTCTGGAGATCAGTTAGGTCACTAGCAATAACTTATTTTGTGTGCAAAGCATATTTTGGATTTTAGAGTTGACCTATAATGTGACAAACGACAATTTAAATAGGGTCCATTTAAGGAGCTAGTTTTGTGCTTGTGCTGATGTGGATTTATGCCGCTGTAAATGATGTTGGACTCTGACCAACATTCTCATTCACCCATGTCACTCATTCCAACTGTCAAATGTTTTTGTGCTATTGGAATGTATCTTCCCAACCCTCAGTGTTCTCTTTTGTAACTTTCTGAGCAATGCTACAAGGTGTGTTAAAACACAGTCAGCTCAACAAGCCCAGATCACCGTTTATGCTCCACTCAAACTTTCTTCCATCTTTATTCAGTAAATATATCAAAATGTATTTCTATGCCTTTCTCCTTTGTCTACTTAATTACCTTACCCTTGTGCTATTTGCCTCAACTGTTCCCTGTGATATTGAGTTCCACATTCTCACCTCTTTCTGGATAAGGGAATTCCCTATTTGATATATTCGCCACCATCTCTTATTTTGGTCTCTAGTTCCAGTCTTGGTCATAAGTGGAAACATCTTATTAAATTATTTCACAACCATAAAAGCATCTAATAAATCATCCTTATCACTTTTTTTTAAGAGAAAAGGGCCCCTGCCCATTGATTACTTGCCTTACTGATAGGTATCATCTGTTTGTTTTAGTATCATTCCAGTTTTTTATTTAACTCTTATGCCTTTGTAAACATTTTCGTAAATGGAAATCAGAACTGTGTTCTGTATCCAAAAGGTGCTCTAATAGCAGACTGGATTTGTCACAAAAATTCTGTACTAATGATTCAGAAACATGAGTTCAAATGTCCCTATGCCTATGATGCTACCTTGACTGAAGCCTTTAACTCAATACAGACTATGAATTAAGTTTCCTACTCTCAAGTTAACTAGTACAAGCACTAAGACTGCCCTTGGTCCTGCCACCCCATTGGGCTACAGTCCTGTACAACAGGAACCAATATTAATAAGTCTATTCCAAACTTTTAACCGTGGGGCACTCCCTCAGCGCTACACTGGGAGCAGGAGCTTGGATTTGATACAATGAAATCATGACATTAGAACTTGAACAGAAACTGGCGCAGGGGCAAGAGAACTGAACTGGCCTAAGATGCTCTATCTAAATCAGTCCCCAGGTCTGAAATTACTTCCACTTAGAGTCATACAGCATGGAAACAGACCCTTCAGTCCAACCAGTCCATACTGACCATAATCCTGAACTGGGCTGGTCCCATCTGCTTGTGCTTGGCCCATATCCCTCCAAAATTTCCTATTCACGTACTTATCTAAATGTCTTTTAAACGTTTTAACTGTATCCACATCAACACTTCCTCTGGCAGTTCATTCCGCACATGAACCACTCTCTGTGTAAAAAAATTGCCCCTCATGTCTTTTTTAAATCTTTCTCCTCTCACCTTAAAAATATGTCCCCTAGTCTTGAATCCCCCGCCCTGGGAAAAAGACACCCGCCATTCACCTTATCTATACCCCTCATTATTTTATATGTTCCAGTGAAACAAAGTCCCAGCCTATCCAGCCTCTCCTCTCAATTCTCAAAGAAAAGCTAAACAAATGAGGAAAAAAAATTCAAGGGACAGATGGATAGAGTTAGTTATAAGTGAGTGGCAGGATGACCAACTGTCTTGTTTTTTTAAGGGATTGCCCTTTATTTTGACTGATCGTCCTGTGCCTCATTTTTCTAGGACAGACTGTGGGAGACTGATCCTGGAGGTCTCCAGGGTAATTTTGAGATTGAATGGGACTGCAAGTGAATGAGTCAGTGAGCAGAAAACTGATAACGCTGTAATTCAACATGATCAGTTATAAGAGATAACAAGACAACATAGAACCTTGAATGCTAGTCATTGAATCAGAAAGCACAAAGCTCTGTTCAAATAAACATAAACATGCAGGGCAACTTACTACTATTTCAAACTAAACAAAATATTAGCACAGAGTTGCCAAGACCTAGTAGTTAATTTATTGCATGAGGATATATTCAAAGTTTTTGCAAACCCCAACTTCCTCTGAATTTTCAACAAAAAGTTCATAGTGCTTTGTTCCCTGCAGTTCCTTGCAATTGAGTACAATTAAATTGCTGCACTTTTCCCACATTTTCCCCTCAGTTTTCACCCTTCCTCTCCTGAGCATTCTGGCACTTAGTAACATCTGTGGTTGCTGACTTTGTGATCCTGGATTATAAAGAAAGACATGCATTTATGTCATACCTTTCATGTTCTGAAGAAGGGTCTAGGCTCGAAACGTCAGCATTCCTGCTCCTCTGATGCTGCTTGGCCTGCTGTGTTCATCCAGCTCTACACCTTGTTATCTCAGATTCTCCAGCATCTGCAGTTCCTACTATCTTATGATCAGTTACAAGTTTTAGTCGATTTTAATGTCTCCTCCTCCCTGCCCCCAGCTATCAAGGCCTGAAGTCTCTATCCTTCCCAGAACTCTCCCTACCTCATTAGCAACCACCCAAACTGTCACTAGCACCTTCTTACCCTCATCGCGGCCTTTATCCCACAGTCAAAGTGACCCCTGTTTTTTTTCCCCTAAGAGTTGGTGACCCTGGACGGTGAGAAGAGACTCATGAAATGCACATAGACCAGCATGGATATGTTGGATTAAGTGGCCTGTTCCTATGGTATGAATATTATGTAACGTGCAAAAGATAATAGTAATTGTCTCATATTCAAGTCTGCACTGTTTGTGTTTTCAGTCACTACTTTGTTATTAGCTGGGGGCAGTCACTGTACTGAACTAATGGCCCTGGGGCTAAGGACAGAGAGGAGCTCAGGTCCTGATCTCTATGTCTTAGTCTCAGTGGAAATGCCTGTTTGTAAAAGGCAGGACAGAGCTTAGCTTGCAGTCCCGGCAGTGAAACTGCCTAACGGCACTTACTATCTCACTGATGCTTGCAAAACCATAATCCCAAAGACCATCAACAGCATGGACTGTTTGTGATTCGGTGATAACACTGAGATGCGAAATAAAGAAAAACTTTAGGGCAAAGCTTTTTAGTCTGTCGCGTTTTTTCCCCACTCAAAACAAATTAATGTTTTTAAACAAACTGTTCGGTTACAGTTGGTTTGAATGCAATGCTCTTAACTACCAGAACAAGCTGTTTTGTTTTTGTTTTCCTTCCTGGCGATTTCCTGGCTGTGTCAAAGGCAACGAACGTAAAATGCCTGCAGAGAGAGAGAGACCTGGTTATCATCAAAGTTCCTGGAGAAGCTCTAACGCAGGATAGAAAGCCAGCTCCCTGTGAATGCAGGGACACAGAAAGATGCATTGATGTCATTATTCGAGGTCACTGATTTAGGCGATCGCCATTTCTCTTGTATTGCTGGTGACGACTTGCACACACTGGACTGGACCAGTGAACTCTGTACCTATCCTGCTTCCCTGTTTGTGAACTCCACTCGATTGCTCAATACACCGCTTGTTATGAAAACTGCAGCCAGAATCCTTCTAAACTATGTGTGCTGCAGAGGACAGGCACTTTGCTGGGATTGGGTGGGGGGAGGGGAACCAACGGAGTGAAACTGTTTTAATTGTTCATATTAATTATCGTAGCCTCAGTAGACAAAGAAGATTAATTGCGAGGACAGGATTATCAGGGGAAAAATGGCCTGACTAGGGGTCTTTTCGATAGTGCCCATTGTCGAAATGTTTCCAGTTATGGGGGAGTCGGAAATCACAAATATAAAATTGTCACCGATAACTCCAACAAAGAATTGAACAGAAACTTATTTCCCCAGAGTGTGTTGAAAATGTGGAACCTGTTACAATGTGGAGCAGTTGAGGTGAAGAGATCTTTAAGGGAAATTTGGATAAAGGTAAAGTCACAAGAGAGAAACAACTGGTGGTTTAATCTAAGGAGCATCACACCTCAGGCAAGGGGAGGGGTTGAGAAGGCGAGTCCTTCAGGGTAACCTCAGCTGGTGCAATAATGGAATCCATAATACTGGCATCACAGGCCTCCGATCCAGCCAACTATGCTAACCACCCCCCGGAAGTTAGATAACTACATGAGGAACAAAGTTATAGAAGAATGTACCAGGATGAGATGAGCTAAGGTCGGGGGATGGGGGCTCATAAAATTCTAGGTACTTCTATGCAATTAAAACTGTGTTATTTTCCACTTTATATTTGCACCATATTTGTCAGTAATTAATCTGAGTCCCCTACATGATTATTTACTACTTGGACCATCAGATCTATTTGTTTAACACCATGTCACGTGCATCATGCCTCCTCTAAACGCCCAATCCTTCCACCCCTGCTAATAACAGCCTCCAGTAACTCACCCCAGCAGCCCATGCTTTCTAGGAAATCTACACTATAAGCATTAGCAAGTTATTTAACCATAAACAGTATGACAGCCAAGCCCAGCCTGTCCCTAGCAACTGCTGGATATCAATTGGGAACGGAAGCTAAGACCTATTTCCTTGTGTTTAGCTCAGTGGGAGCTGAAGCCAATTATAATGTCCTTGTTGCTGTACCAAATAGGATTAGGCAACTCAGCACAGACCAGAGGTCAAACCTCCAACTTCCAGTTTGCATGACTCAATTTCATTCTGAGGATGTCTCGGCACATTATGGCAAAGCTGTATTATGTGCAATGTAATGCTACACTCACCACAAACTAGTTTACCTCAATTTAACTCATACTGAACATGCAGTAGGTTTAAACTAGATTGGCAGGGGGATGGAATCCTCACCAGCAGGGAGGCAAGTGTGAGGTTGGAAGGAGATACAGTAATCAGAAATAGTTGGTTGAAGAGGCAGGTCAGGCTGGAACACAACAGGGAGCAAGAAATTCCTGTTGGATTAAATTGCATCTATTTCAATGCAAGAGTGCTGACAGGTAAGGCCAATGAACTCAGCGCGTGGATAGGTACGTGGGACTGGGATATTATAGCCATTGCACAAACATGGCTAAGGGAGGGACAGGACTGGCAGCTTAACATGCCAGGGTGCAGGTGCTTTAGGCAGGACAGAGGTGGAAGAAAGAAGGGAGATGGAGTTGCATTTTTGATTAAGGGGAGTATCACAGCAGTAGTCAGAGATGAAATAACTGAGGGATCGTCCAGTGAAGCTTTGTGAGTGGAGCTAAGAAATAAGAAGGGGATGGTGACATTACTGGGGTTCTACTATGGACCCCCAAATAGTCAACGGGAATTAGAGAAACAAACAGGAGATTGGGGAGACTTGCAGGAGCAATAGGATTGTCATATTAGGGGATTTTAATTTTCCTAACATAGACTGGGAATGCCATGGTGTTAAGGGCTTAGATGGGGAAAATTTGTTAAATGCGTTCAGGAAAGTTTCCTCAAGCAGTATATAGTCGGTCCTATTTGGGAAGGGGCAAAACTTGACCTACTCCTAGGAAATAGGGCAGGACAGGTGACTGAGGTGGGGGAGCACTTTGGGACCAGTGACCATAGTTCTATGAATTTTACAATAGTTATGGAGAAGGACAAAACTGGCCCACAGATTCAAGTTCTAAACTGGGGCAAGACAAATTTTGATGGAATTAGACAGGAGCTTGCAGGGGTTGACTGGAGTAGTTTGCTTGCAGGCAAAGGGACCTCTGGCAAGTAGGAGGCCTTTAAAAGTGTGATAGCTAGAGTTTAAGGTCTGTATGTTCCTGTGAGGGTGAAGGGCAAGATTGGCAGGAATAGGGAACCCTGGATGTCAAGAGACATTGAGGCTTTGACCAGAAAAAAGGAGGCATGGCTCAGGTACAAGCAGCTGGGATCACGGGAATCCCTGGAGGTATGTAGGGGATACAGGAGCTTACTGAAGAAGGAAATCAGGAGGGCAAAAAGAGGGCACGAGATAGCTTTGGCTAAGAAGATTAGGGTGAATTGGGTGGCACGGTGGCTCAGTGGTTAGCAGTGCTGCCTCACAGCACAAGGGACCCAGGTTCAATTCCACCCTTGGGCAACCATGTGGAGTTTGCACATTCTTCCCGTGACTGCACAGGTTTCTTCTGGGTGCTCTGGTTTCCTCCCACAGTCTAACGATGTGCAGGCTAGGTGAATTGGCCATGCTAAATTGCCCAGAGTGTTCAGGGATGTGTAGATTAGGTGGGTCATAGAGGGATGGGTCTGGGTGGGATGCTCTGAGGGTCAGTGTGGACTTGTTGGGCCAAAGGGTCTGTTTCCACACTGTAGGGATTCTATTCTATTCTTGAATCCAAAGGGATTCTTTAAGTATATTAAAGGAAAAAGAATAACTAGAGAGAGAATAGGACCGCTCAAGGACTAAAGTGGACATGTGTGTGGGGAACTGCAGGACATGGATGGGATCCTCAATGAATATTTCTCCTCTGTGTTTACCATGGAGAAAGACATGAAGACTTGGGAACTTGGGGAAGTTATTAGTGATATCTTGGGGTCAGTCCATATTACAGTAGAGGAGGTATTGGACGTATTAGAATGTATGAAGGTGGATAAGTCTCCTGGTCCTGACCAGATATATTCAAGAACCCTGTAAAAGGCTAGAGAAAAAATTGCGGAGGCCCCTGCTGATATATTTGCATCATCGTTAGCCTCGGGTGAGGTCCCAGAAGACTGCAGTGTAGCAAATGTTGTGCCCTTATTCAAGAAGGGCTGAAAAGAAAAACCTGGGAACTATAGACCTGTAAGCATAACATCTGTGGTAGATAAGTTACTTGAGAAGATTCTGAAGCATAAGATACACATGCATTTAGAAAGACAGGCTTTGATTAGGAGTAGTCAGCATGGCTTCAAGCGTGGGAGATCATGCCTCATAAATTTGTTATAGTTCTTTGATGAAGTGACCAGGGAGGTTCTTGAGGGCAGGGCAGTTGGCGTAGTCTGTATGGATTTCAGTAAGACCTTTGATAAAGTTCCACATGGTAGGCTCTGGAGGGTTAGATCACATGGAATCCAGGGAGAGCAGGCAAATTGGATACACAATTGCCTTGATGAGTAGGAAACAGAGTGTATTAGTGGAAGGATGCATTTGGACTGGAGGCCTGTGACTAGTGGTGTGCCTCAGGGGTCAGTGCTGGGCCCATTACTGTTTGTTATCTATGTTAGTGATTTGGATAGAATGCACAAGACATGACTAGTAAGTTTGCAGGTGACACTTAAATAGGTGGTATTGTGGAAATGAGCAAGGTTATCAGAAATTGCAGCAGGATCTTGATTAGCTAGCAAAGTGGACCGAGAAATGGCGAATGGACTTTAATGTAGATAAGTGTGAGGTGTTGCATTTTGGAAAGTCAAATCAAGGTAGAAGTTTCATGGTGAATGGTAGGGCCTTAAGGAGTGTAGTGGAGCAGAGAGACCTTGGAGTTCAGGTGCACTGTTCTCTGAAAGTGGAGTCATAGGTAGACAGGGTAGTGAAGAAGGCTTTTCACACACTGGCCTTCTTTAGTCAGAGCACTAAGTATAGAATTTGGGAAGTTATGTTGCAGTTATACAGGACATTGATGAGGCTGAACTTGGAATATTGTGTTCAGTTTTGGTCATCTTGCTATAGGAAGGAAGTTATTAAACTGGAAAGAATGCAGAAGAAATTTACAAGGATGTTGCCAGGACTCAAAGGACTGAGTTATAGGGAGAGGTTGGACAAGCTAGGATTTTTTTCTTAAGAGCATAGGAGACAGAGGGGAGATCTTATAGAAGTGTATAAGATCATGAGAGGCTTGGATAGGGTGAATGCACTGAGTCTTCTTTCCCAGGGTTGGGGAATTGAGGACCACAGGGCATCAATTTAAGGTAAGAGGGGAAAGAATAAATGGGAACCTGACAGGCAACTTTTCTACACAGAGGGTGGTACGCATATGGAATGAGCTGCCAGCAGAAGTGGTTGAGGTGGGTACGTAAACCAACATTTAAAAGGCATGTGGATGAATACTTGGAAAAGAAAAGTTTAGAAAGATATGGGCCAAGTGCGGGGAAATGGGGTTAGCGTGGACGGACATTTTGTTCGGCATGGACCAGTTTGGGCCTAAGGGCCTATCTCTGTGATGTAGGACTCTATGACTCTGGACTCTAAATCCACTGTAATAGTACATAATGTGTGCTGAATTAGATACATTGTACTAGCTAATGTTTCACAGAGGGATATACCACATTGGTATAAATCAGGTGCAATGTTACACAGAGTATGCTGATCTAGACACGCTGTACCATCCAATAATGCTCCAAGAAGGATATTTTGGTTACCTCAGGTATAATGTTACACTGAGGCTGTTGATACAACTACAATACGATGTTTCAAATAGGATATACTGGTTTAAATCTGTTACGATGTTACATCGAAGATATATCTCACCAAATCATTATCTAGACAAAGTAGTGTCCAGTCTTTATATGTTAATAAGTTGCTATCCCATGGCATGTTAAAGGTAAGAATTGTAACAATTAAATCCCTGGATCCATTACTTTGCATACTTCCTGGTTGCTGATTAATAACAGACCTTGGCATTCTGCTTCGAGATATATCAGTCAATGCTACAGCCCTTCCCAAACCTCCAGACTCACAATATTCAAATCAACAATGAACTAATGTCAATGCAAATAGAAGTAAGTAGTTTGCAATTGGTAGCCGCAGTTGCCAGGATAGTTTGGGGTCACCTCTTATGTGGAGGGTTGATGGTTGGGAGTTCTTGATCATGGAGGCCAGTGGAAGGGATTTCTAGTCTGAATGGCGGCTGTAGAGAGGACAGAGAGACTTCTTTTTCTATGGAGGATTTGCAGGGGAGAGCTAACCTAAATAGTTTTTATATAGGTCACAATCCTGAGTTCAGACCAATATTCTTCTTCAAATAAGTACTGACAGAATGTTTCTTTTTAAAAAAAAACATTTACAGGATGACAGCCTCCAGGATTTATTGTCCTTACCTAGCTGCTGCTTGAAGAGGTGATGATGCACATTTTAAACCATTGAAGTCCACGTGCTGAAGATATTTCTAAATGCTGTTAAGTAGGGAGCTCAAAGGCCCTGACTCAGCAGGAATAAAATAACATTAATATATGTCCAATCCAGGATGATGAAGGTCTTTGAGGCCGACAGTGCTCCCATGATTTCGGACAGAAAGGAAAAATAATTTTACTTTCCAAGTAGTTTCCAATTTAAAGAGGCCAGCAAAAAAGAAATGCAATAAATTTCAGAAATTGCATAGTCTGGGGAACACTTCCAGGAAAGCTGGGTCATGGGAGAGTCTGGGAACAGGCTGTGCTGATGGACTTCAGTCAACACATCATGTTGGGCTTGGATCCAGGTGGAGGGAGATGGAGAAATCATTGTGACGGGAAGATCTCTAACTGTCAATATCTGTTTAGTCAAAATTCACCAGGTTTTTTGGAATTGGGAAAATTAATTGCCAGATGATAAATGCAAACAGGATTGGGTGTTTGCCAAAAAAGCATAGATCTTAGTTACCAGGAGAGGTATGGATTTGTTGGGAATTGCGAATCCTCTGTGAATGAAAGAAATATTTGGATTCAAATTATGTTTTTCACAATTTCAAAATGTTGCAAAACATTTTTCAGTCAATGCAGTAGTTTTTGAAATGTCAATCTTGTATTGCAGGAAACAGTAGCCAATTTGTGTGCTGCAAGCTTTCACAATTGAATTAGATAGATAATAAACAGATCATGTGTTTTGGTGATGTTGGTTGGGAGAGAACAATTTATTACTGATGGGTACAGTGTTGTCACTCAATACATTGGGAACAACATATTTGGGCTTCCAATTGTGCCCTAGCTCTGTTGCCCCAGGTGCTTCAGATAACAAGGTTAATAGGCCAGTCAGGTTCTTACACAGCGGGTGATGGAATACACGGGAGTCTGTCTGGGATCTATATCATGCTGTATCCTTTGCAGTTTTGTCAATTCTGCCAACTAGGATTAAGTTTTGCATTTGCTCAAAGTGAATTATATTTTTCCAGGGTTTTTACTCTGTTAGACACTGCAATGAAATAAAGCTACTTTTTGTTTGTTAATTCAAGGCCCAAGGACATTATTCTTACTGCCATCCCATAGCTGAGATCACCCACACTCAATGAAACTTGGGATCATCTTAGATTCAATTATGGTTGAATGGGTATCACTTCTATTCTGAGTCAGTAGGATGTGGTTTTAAGTGTCACTCTAGAGGTTTAAATGCAAAATCTAGGCTGACACAACCAATACTATGCTGTCTCTCAGGTGCATTGCTAAACCATCTCAAACGGATGTGGAAGCCCCTGTGACGGATTTTTGTTTTGGAAAAGTTACAGATAATTTCTTCTTGGTGATCTGGTTATTATTTATTCCTCCACTGACATCAGTAAAACAGATTATCTTCCATGAACACACAATTACTTGTGGTCTATTGCCTTGCATGAATTGGCCAAGTCCTTTCCTGAAGTTTCTTTTTGTTCGCTCCTGGGATGTGGGAGGTGGGTGTCACTAGCAGGCCCAGCATTTATTACCAGTTGCCCTTGAGAAAGTGGTGGTGAGCTGTCTTCTTGAACCAATGCAGACCACTAGTTTGACCACAATGGTATTCGGGAAGGCATGCCAAGATTTTGACTCAGCAATAGAGAGGGAATGGCGATATATTTCCAAATAAGGATGGTGAGTGACTTGGAGGGGAACTTGCAGTTATTAGTGTTCCCATGTATCTGCCACCCTTGTCTTTCAAGATGGAAATTATCTTGGGTTTGGAAGGTGCTGTCTAAGGAGCCTTGGGGAATTTCTGCAGTGCTTGTAGATAGCACACACTGCTGCGACTGAGTATCGGTGGTGGAGGGAGTGGATGCTTGTGCACGTCAAACAACCTCCTTGCTTTGGAAAGTCACGAGGTTGTGAACACTGTTGTATAAATGCAACTTATTTCCCTTCCTTCTCGAACCCAGGCAGTTCTCAACCTTAATGTCCTATCTGCCGAAATTGATCTTCTGATCCTATATGCACTTCCAAAACTGCTTACTTGCATCACTCTAACATTGCTTATCTCTACTCCTGCCTCAGCTTATCCACTGCTGAAACCTTCATCCAAACCTAAATTATTATGTCAACTTTCCAATGCTGTGCTGGTTGTCCACATACCTTGCATCTTCTGTAAACTGGAGCTCATCTAAACTGGGCTGTTCTTATCCTAATTCAAACCAAGTCCCATTTATCCATCATCCTTTTGTAGCCTGGCCTATACCAGTTTCCAGTTCAGCAATGCCAAATTTTAAAACTCTTATTGTTGTTTTCTCATCCCTTCACGGTCTTGCCCCTTCCTAGCTCTGCAATCTCCTCCAACCTTACAGTCTATATATTGCTATAAACTTGGCCTTTTCTGTTACCCTCAGTTTCTTAACTCCACCATAGGCAGCTGGTTCTTTCACCTACCTGCCCCAAACTCTGGAATTTTTCCCTTAAACCTTTTTACAATTCTACTTTTAGACACTCCTTTGATGAAACATTTAGTTGCCTATTCCTTTTGAGTCTCCTTTCATGCCTTGTTGTTGCATTTGGTTTAATAATTTCTTCAATGAGAAAATAGCAGCATTTTACGAAGTTAAAGATGCTATATAAGTACAAACCCAAAGTTATAGTCAAGATCCCAGATGAGGACTATGTCAACCTGTTGACACTTGCTGGGGCTGAACAGGTTTGATCCAGGATGCTGGTCACACACAGATAGCACTGGGGTCACCTACTGTAGTGGTTGTAACGAGGTCAACCGGGCAGACGTCATAGAATACGAGTTCCCTGATTGGGGCTATTAATCTGACAGATATAAATAGGAGTGTCTGGGGTTGTGTTCACTCTGAGAGCTGGCGCTGAGGGATCTGAATCAGTGTCAAAGACTTTCCAAGTATAAATAAAGGGTGAACTGATGACAGGATACCAGCCTCTGTGGAATTGTTTCACCTATTGCCCAGGCCATTGGACCAGGCTTGGCAAAATTAGAGGACAAGTTACAGGACATCTGAAACTCAGCGAAATGTGTCTGTGCTGCAACTGAATGGGCAGGTAAAAGGGACTCACTGGTCTTAAACCCATTGCTAGAGTGTTTTTGACAGTCCGTGCAACTCTACTGTTGGGTAAAGGATCTTGTTTGTGAGTCATTTCTTGTTGATAGGATGTTATGTTTACCTCTTTAACTGTCCACTCCTGAAAACCTAGCTCTTTAATCATGTTGTTTTGTCATTTGAATTAACATCTCATTCTGTGGCTTCATGTTATTCTTTGTTTTATAATGGTCCAATTAAATGCCTTGAAAATTTAATTATTTTACAGATAACAAATATATAAGTTGCTGTTGTGAAGCTCTACCTCTTCCACATATGGTTTAAGAATACAAGTCTAATGCTGGGAAGCAATGAAGGACTTAAACCTTCTTCCATCCATCCAAAAGCTTTGTAAGATTCTGTGCTGGCTTAATTCACTCTAGTTATTTCAATTCAAATCAGTGCTGGGCTCTGAGATGACCCATGTCCTACAGTGATCACATGAACATCACCACTCTAACATTTGCAGGTCATCATTAAACAACAGAACAGGCCGCAGGCAGCTAAACATTAACATTTGCACGAATGTGGTTAGAAGATAATTTCAAGGATAATTTTCAGCTGGTATTTGCAAACATCAGCATCTAAAACAATTGCTTTCGAAGATTATCATTGAAGAATTGAAAGGATAAATAACGGCAGGTCACGCAGTTGCAAAATTATTGCAACTGAAATGAGTCATGCAAAAGAGGTAGCTTATTTTACAAATTAATCAGCCTACAAAGGTCTGACACAGAAATAAGTCTAAACTTGCCCACTTGGTAAATACATTGCCTGATTAGAATGAACCAAGATCTCATTCTTAGTCAGTGTGTCCTGATTGATTTCAATGCAAACAGTGATTTTTGGAACTTGTCTGTATCACTGAGTGATTCTGGGGGCACTCAATAAAGGTTGCTGCACCTGATCATCTTACAGTGACCCATGCTTGAATGTTTGCATCTCAGGTGGCGTGTGGATGTAATGCCCCAGTGGTCAAATAACTTGTAAAACAACCATCATCTCAGCTCAAATATGCATAATTGCTGCAAGGCTCCCCTGCCCTGCCTGTACCTTGCTTCCTGAGCAAGTTCACACGCACCAATGTACCAAGACCCTTCACAGAGTAGAGTTCAATGAACAGAATTTGAAACTGAGCCATAGGATTCCTTTCCTATCGGTATTTGGATCTATTTACAGCACATGGGCTGCAACTGTTCAAGAGGACAGCTCACCACTTTTTCAAAGCCAACTTGGGATGGACAATAAATGCTGGCAGCAAGCGATGCCCACATCCCACAAGTGAATATAATAAAGGGAGACTGTAGGATAGATGACCAAAAAATACATAGGTTTTTAAGGAGCATCTTAAAGGGAGAGAGAATGGCAGCGAGGGGCGAAATGTGGAGCGGCAATTCCAGATTTTAGGGTCCAGAGACAGCTGCAGGCACAGCCACAAATGGTGGAGCAATTAACATTGTGGATATTCAGGCAGTTGGAATGAAGGTAGGTACAGACCTTAAAGTATTGTTGAGCTGAAGTATGTCACTAGGTTAAGACTGTAGGTATATTTGCAAACAAATTTTGAATCAAAAGTTATGTAGATGAAATAACCTTGCCTGACCAAATTGTCTTACAGTATATCTTACTCACAGAAGAAGCATCTAACCTTCTCTGAGGGGATCTTTGTTCAATGGAAGCATTTCATAAAAAACACAATTAACTGCAGTTCTGAAAAAAAACAATTCATTCCAAGGACAAAGGATAATTGTGTCTACAACTGAATAGCCGATATATCTGAAATTCTCACAGACTAACAAAGGGCACAATCAGACAGGTTTTACTGTGACTTGGAGGGTGTGAGTGTGGAGGAAACTCCCTCTGTTTCCCAGCATTCTGCCCCTCTCCATGGAGGAAGTGTGTGATTGTTCTCACGTTCACTGTCGCTTCCAGACACTGCCCTTTCACAGGCCAAGCCAGTGAATACTGTACAAGGCAGGATCTGGAATTGTTCACATGTGAGCAGATCACTGAGAGCGAGATGCAAAGTCAGAAGAGTCATTAACCCTTTGCTAACTTAGAACA